GGAAGGCTATGCTATAACCACCCTCCAACTTGGAAACTGAGGCTTGAGGGTGTCAAATGACTTGTCCAGTGAGAGGCAGAGAAAAGACGGCAATCAAACATCACCTGGTTCTGTGATCCATGAAAAATATACTGCTCTGCTTTACTAACACTAGATACTCAAGGAAAGAAAGGACTCACTTTTCGACCCAGAGCACAGAGACGAGCTTGACGCCTCTCTCTCGGGCTTTGTCCCAGGTGCGTGGGTATCCGTCTTTGAACACAACATGAGTTACTTGCTTGTTAAAAGTTTTTGAGACCTGTAGATAAAGTGCAGGAAAAAAAATTACATGATGATTATTTGCACACAATTTCATAAAGTAAGTATAAGCGAGGACCATTCATGGAGACAGCTGCAAAGTAAGCAACAAAACAGCAAACTGTATCAACCTATAAAAAGGATAATACTGGGTGGGCAAAAGTCGGTTTACTGTTATTCACATAAAAAAGAGTACAGGAATCTATAATAATAAAAGCATAATATGCTAAGTAGGCCCGACAGCCGAACGACCTTCCAGACGTCCTTTTGGACAGCCTTCTGGACGAAGCCGGGGCTGTGAGGGCCAAGCCCCTTGCACGAATTTCATGCATCAGGCCTCTAGTTAATAAATAACAATGCGAGAATAAACTGTTTTGCGTACCCACAACTGCAAACCTACTTTTGTCCCTGAACATCCCCACCACTCGAATGTATTCCAGGACTGCAATACATTGGTTAACATGAAAAAAAAAAATCAATAAGGATTATCCACTATATTAACAAAATAAAAGACCATTATGATCATCTCAATAGATGCATACAACACACCTGACAAAATTCAAAAGTTTATTCCGAAGGACAATTCTTAGTAAATGAGGATCTCAATGCTGGTACAAAATGCAGTGACTAGCCTTAACTACCTCAAGTTCCAGCTTGGTACACCTAAAATCTGTCAGATATGCCCAACGTCCCAACTTCGCAACCTTTCCCTAAACACCTGTTCCCTTCCCTGCGTACCCCACCTGACCAACAGCATCACGCCTCCAAGTAACCAACGGCAGGATCCGTATTCTCACCCTAGAGTCCTCCCTCATAAGCACAAGACCAACCTTGCATAAATTCTACTGCGCCAAATTCTTACTGTGGTTCTTTTTTCTCCTGTCACTTTCCCACTGTCTTCTTTTCCCTTCATATTCTAATAACTCCCCAAATTATGTACCAGAGGTCTAACATATGGAGCAATGGTGAGGTGAATTTGTTACATGTAGCGATGGTGAGATGAATCTGTTACTCACATGTACAATGGTGAGATGAATTTCTTACCTTTGCCCCCATCTCCACAAGTTGGTTTGTAAATGTCTTTGAATAATTTTCTGTTCCATTGGCTGACCACACTTCCACATAAGCCACTACATCTGAAAACAAACAAGGTGTCAGCATGAAATATACTGAAATCCCATCATCCCTTGCCCGAGTATTTCGATACATTTCTCTCTTGTTATATTTACATCAAAAACTTCTTTTTAAATTTCTTCAATTACAAGCCTATTCAAAATAGCATTCGTGCTATTATGGTTCTTAAAATTTCAAGCAAAGAACGACGTTAGTCACGCACATGGCGGTGGACAGTTTACATTAATCCTCCATGCGCTCCCCAAGTGCCCAAACCAGGCTCAACTCCTCCAGGCGAGAGCCCGTGTTCTGAAAAGGTCCGGACAGTAAAGAGTTCAGACTCGGGCCAAGGAGACCTCGTGGCTGCAAAGCAAACGCAGCCACAGACAAAGCTGAGGAGGGGGCAGAGCTGTCTTCCCATGAAACGTCACAGACGGTGAAGGGAGAATCGGAGGGCATTTTCCTGTCTCCCTCCTTCTTCTCCTGTGCCCCCCGCCCCCCAACCCTTTAGAGCAGCAAGTCACAGCCTCAGCTGCCGGTCCTGCGGCGACAGGAGCAGCGCGGGGGCAGGGAGCAGGTCCCTCGGCTTTTCCTCCAAACCCAGGGCCGGGAAAGGGGGCCCAGGTGCGCGGGCGGAGCGAAGGGAAGTGGCCGAAGCGCACACATCCCGCAGGAGGAGCAGCCACGCGGAGCAG